CGGAGCCCGGAGCCCGGGCGGGCCAGGGGCGCTGCGCGCTCTCCCGACTTTCCGGCCTGTGTGGTCTCCTTCCCGGCTCTTCTTTCCCGGGTCTGGCACTGCCTGAGCCGGAGGGAGGAGCCTGGATCTTCCGCCCAAAACTTTGAGCCGCCCCCGCCCCAGCCCTGCCTTTGTACTGAGCATGCCCGGAGGGAGCCGTTTTCCAGCCTGAGAAGTTTTGGGAGGGCTCTTGGTTCCCCTGGGCCCCCGGACTTCAGCGGAGAGGGGTGCCCTGCAGCGGAGGAGGGCGTTGCTTGGAGAAGTTTACTGGGCGCTTACAGTCCGCCAAGCGTTCAGTCTGAGGATCTCCAACTTTCTCAGCAAACCTGGGGATGGAGGAGGCGCAGAGTGAGAGCCACGGGACTCCAGCCTGGCCACCTTGGGCGGCACAGGCCACCGCTGCCTCTGAACTTGTTCTTAAGAATCGGGTCTCAATGCCTTTTTTCCCCTCAAGACAGTGTGCTCCCAGCCCCTGGAGAGACCAGAGGCTGCCTGGGCATTCATTCCCGGGCATTTACAGCAAACCCACTGCTCCAACCAGCACCAGGCCAGCAAGGACCCAGTCCAGGTCAGGGCCTGGAGGATCGGATCGCAGGCCTGTGTGGGGAGAAACAACCAGATGTGTCAGGCTTGCTCTTTCTCGCAGCAAACATTTGCTGAGCAGCCGCTATGTGCCAGCTCTTGTCCTGGGGCTGGGGGCACAGCAGGGAACGCACGTGTGCGCGCGTGTGCACACACACACACACACACACACACACACACTCTTACAGGTTGGAGCTTAATTCCCTAGGAGGGCTGGGGCAGGGGACCACCGGGAGCTGCTACAGCTGAAAATGGCTTCCGTGTTCTTAACCTGGACGTGCAGCTCAAACTTCTAGTTTTTTCATCGTTTCCTCATCAGCCCTTCCGGGGGGCAGGCTGGGAGCTATTATCCAGATTCAGTTTTTATAGATGGAGAAACTGACACTAGAGGGGAAAAGTGGCTCCCCCAGGTGTTGCCAGGAGGCTATGGGACAGGTATATTGACGCCTGGGCCTGTAAATGCGTCTTTAGAAGCATCTCCAAGACTCCTGGGGAGGTCTGTGGGGGCAATAACCTGGGGTTCTTGCTTTATGGGGGCTATTTCTTTGGTTACCCAAGCTTTAGTTTGTTTATTTTGTTGTTTTAATATATTTTTATTGATTTCAGAGAGGAAGGGAGAGGGAGAGAGAGATGGAAACATCAGTGATGAGAGGGAATCATTGATTGGCTGCCTCCTGCACGCCCCACACTTAGAGAACAATGTGGGCCTTCGTGGAGGGGCTCTCGGAGCCCCTGGAATCTTCGGGAGCAGGGGGCCTCCGGGTCTGCGGTGGGTAGTGCCAGGCCCCCAGGTGGGCGTGAGCTAACCCCGCTGTG